CATTATGTAACTGCATAGTTGAAATCTAAACATCAAAAATAGCTAGGTTCTGATTCTATTTAGGACATGAAAACAGTGATTAGTTTCATTTAGGCGAATTCATTCACTCAGCGGTGTTTGTGTACACTAGACTCGTCAAAAAAAGAATAAAAAACTAATTAGGCTTGTTGCTAAGGTCATGAAAATATTTTGAGAAATGTGATGAATACTCAAATTGTAATAAACTAGGGTGGAGGGTGGTGGTGAAGATTAGAAAGACGTTGGTAGTCATGACTTGTCTGAAAATAGTTGTCAATGTTAGTCAGTGGTGTATAAGGCAAGCCGAATAAGAAAGAAGTGTACTGCGGTTATGCAATAAGTGAAATAGTCAAAATTGACCTATTAAACTTTTCAACTGATTACGTAACTTCAATAGACTTATTTTGAATTCACTCATGCACTCAATAGCATTGAAAACTATTTTTTGGACAGGTCATTACTACCAACGTCTTACCAATCTGTACAAACGTCACCCACCCACCAACCCCAACCGCCTTCCACCCTAGTTAATTACAATTTGAGTATTCATCACATTTTTACCGAAATTTTTTCATGACATAGCAACAAGCCTAAAAGTGATCACAATAAAAATAAATATTGACTGAATAAATAATGCTACTTATGTTTATCTAGAAAAAATTGCATTCTTCACCCATTTCTACTTCTCAATGAACTCATTGGAAGACACTAATTGAAATTTTTTTCGAACCAAACACAATTGTCGAGTAAGGTGAACCTGGTTCATATCCATAGTTAAGCAGAAATATCTCAGCATAAATTTGTGATACAACTGAATATTATTTCAAATTGATCACTGAATGCTTGTAGTTAATTAATTTGAATAAACCAACAACACAGAGAAGCCTTGAACATAATCGAGAGGAGAATAGTTTTAAAGTGTAACAGATTTAGTGTTGTTGTGGACGAGCAAAAGGTAACCCTCCCTTCCCCAAGACTTGAACTTTCAACTTAGCTGAATAGTAATAATAATAATTTGCTTTATTCCAAGCAGTACTTGTTATACAGAATGGAATTCTCAGCATTTTTACTACAGTATTGCATCCAGTTAGTACATTATCAATAAATAAATTTCTACATAGATGAAGGAAATCTCAGTTCATTATGACAACAAAATGTTGGCATGTCGGTAGCAAAGCCAAAGTTGAACACTGTTTGAAGGTGTTAGAAATGTAGGCGCTATCATATTCACTGGCGTAAGCGGAAGAAAGAAACAAAGCAGCACATAACGGAAAAAAAGAGAAAGAGTGAGAGAGAGAGAAAAGGAAAAGAAAGAAAGAAAATGTTGTACGTATAAATGATATGAGTTGGAAAGACGAGTTCCAGTTGTTCTACTGACTATTTAATGAATTATAGGTGTCACGCCTAATGATTTCTTTATCGCACAGAACACGAGCTAAGTAGGGTATGGTTGAGTTTTTGTACTTGCTGGTGCGAGCATATAGTTTTCTATATAGGCTTCTGGTTTTGCCTGATGAGATGCAATGGGAGAGTTGTGAGTGAAGAGTGTGGTGTGAGTTAGATAAAATGGATTTGGCCCATTTTTCACATGAGTCCATGTGCCTGTCAACCAGAATATTAACAAGCTGGTTAAGTGGCACGCTGCTTATCCTGCTGACAACCTTGAACATCCTGCGTAATATGTTGTAGTCCTTCTTCAGTAGCCCGGGAAAAACTAAGGGGGAACAATAGAGAATAATAGGCAGAATGAGAGAGTTAACGAATTGTAGGAGTAGGACGGAATATTTTCTTAGAAATCGCCAAGATATGAGACGACCAGGAGAGATCAGCAGAGAGAATGACGCCTAGGTATTTCATTTCCGACTTGGTTTCTATTTCAGTGCCATCAATGTTGCACATCTCGTGAGAGCCAACCAGTTTGTTTAGGTCGGATTTATGCCTAAAGGTGAAGTTGACTGTTTGACATTTGGAGGGGTTTAAGGTAAGACCGTTTTCCTCGGACCACTGGCTGATTTCTGACAGAAAGCCATTTAGTTTGGAGCAGTCACTTTGACATTTGACAGGCAAAGATACAGTCAGATCGTCAGCATATTTGACAAAATTAATGTAATTTGAAGATGGTAAGTCATGTAGAAAGAAAGAAAAGAGAAGTGGGGAGAGCACAGCACCTTGGGGGACACCAGCTTCAGTGAGCGCAGCAGAGGAGGACTTACCTTTGTATACGGTGTACTGCATTCTGTTAGAGAAGTAGGAATGCAACCAGTTAGTGACCCAGGACTCAGTTTTTGTCATAGAGAGCTTATTTTTAGCAAAAGACATCTAGGTACAGAGTTGAAAGCAGAAGTGAAGTCGAGAAACGTGCAGCGGACGTATTTGGCACCTTTATCTAATGATGAGGCGATACTGTTGTGTAAGACAGCTGCAGCGTCCTACCCTGTCTATAGGCAAATTGTTTGGGGTCTTCAAAGCTTTTAAGGGAGGGTTCAAGTTTAAGAAGTACTAGTTTTTCCATAAGCTTTAGAAACGGGGAAGTGATGGCAATAGGTCTGAACTTTACGTTCTTGCCGTCTCCAGGTTTAGGGACAGGGACTATTTTAATGTCTTTCCATGAAACAGGTGCGACATTTTTGGAGAAAGAAGCATTTAGGATGTCAGTTAGTGGAGAAGATAAAGTATCTGCACATTGTTTTAGAACATATGCAGGTATACCATCAGGGCCAAGGCCACGTGAGGGCTTGAGCGTTTTAAGACATTTTAGAACATCGAGAGCATTAAAGTCATGAAAGTCATCAGATACATGATTGGTAAAATTAGAAGTAGTTATAGAAGAAGGACAGCGTATAAAAGACCGATTAAGAGCATTAACATCATAAGAGGGAAAAGCAGTACATCGCTTACTATTGCCAGTAATTTCATTGAAAGTTTTCCACATGCTGATAGGCGATTTGCATGATAAAAGTGTATCGTTGTAGATAGAATTAGGATTTTTGGCAATACCTCGCTAAATTTCAGTCTCTCTCCCTCTCTCTCTATATATATATATATATGTCTGTCGGTGTGACAGCGGTTAGGACTCTCTCGGACCATGCACATGATCCGGGATTCGATTCCCCGCCGCCGAACACCTGATATCAATAGTCAGCCTGCTAAATTTGGGCTACCGATATCATACGCTGAAAATTCCATAGTTGTACCAAAATACTGTGTGGAATCAAACCACTATATATATACATAGTTCATTATTGTAAATTGCACTAGAAAACAAAATGGACATTTATCTGTGTTATTTGTGTACTAATTTCATTTCCGTTAGTCAGTATTAGTAGTATGTAGAGTTCATCTACGGGAGTTCTGAGACCCAGTTGTTGACTTGGATATCTCAGATATTGCAACTACGCTTCATATATATAATTTAGTTGACAAAAGTTTAAGTCCTAAGCAAAGGGTCAATTCCCAAATCTGGATTATCATGTTGGTCACTGTCAACATGATTTGAATTAATGCACCTATGGAGAAAAGTAATACACAGTCATTTTAATTTCTAATATATTTTTATACTAGAATAAAGTGTTTGGTAGTTTTGTGGAGTTTATCGTACTGGTTTAGGGATCAAATTTGTGGAATCACCCTCAAGCAGTAAAATTACATAAACGTCCTCATGTCAGTCTGATTAAACTGTTATAGCCTTTATCTTGAGACATCCACAGAAGTGATTACAATTTCAGAAGAAAGTTTTTATTTAATAGTATGTCAGTGTGGTTTTGCATTTCCTCTCTCATGATATCCTCAATACGCATGTGTTGAATAAGTTTGAATAAACTAACGCTTTTGTATGCTGGAGTGGATATAAACTACGGCAATTTATATACTATCGCGTTTCACATGAACTTCCTGAAGACAAGTTGTCTTGTTAACCCAACATATCGGTGAGTTATGAGTACATCTAAAATCTGCAAACAGTCATTAATTTCTTTCCATTTGTTAACGATACACCATTTTATGTTATGTAAATCCGAATTTCTCTAGCGTTTGTCGACCTCTCAATCATAACTAAATACAAGTCAGTTTGATTGCATCTTTTGTCTGGATGATGAAGTGAAATTCTCTCATACTGGAGTGTGCCTGTATTTCAAACAGGTGAACTGTCAATTAGCTTTTTATCTATGCTCAGATTGAATGAAGCACAAACTAGGCAGAATTAAATTAAAATTGACTCTTATGCAGTGGAGTGATGTTAAACGTCTGACTGAAAGTTAATTTAAGTAATTAGTGCCTATTCACCACTTACGAAAATAAAATACAATACTCCTGTTTTTCTGCTAACACAACTTGTCTTTCGACTGTTTTTTATTTATTTATGTCTCTAAAATATTCATAGTTTGAAACGTTCTACTCATTCGTTTTATCCGTCAGTAATGTTCAACAGGTACGAATTTGGATAGTGACAGAAGTTAAGCTAAGACCTTGGTGTTACAAATGAAGTAAAAATGATACTGATTTGATTCTATGCTGTTGTAAATATCCTAAATGGACATGTCCCACAGGTACTAATCTACGATGACAATACCACAAGTGATTGTAAAGCTAACGATACAATGTAACATTGATCAGTTGTCCGTACTAAGTACTAAGATAAGCGTACGCTTATTCTACTATATTTCGTATTTCCATTCACACTTTACAATTCGCAATAGACTTTAACTGATTAACGCCAACATACACTATAGTATTATCACTGACACAACATTGGAAATCAAACTATCGCGAAAAGTGAAAGAAAAATCATACCGGTTGACAGAATACACTTATTTATTTATTTATGTATTAAGAAGCAGTATAACAACGCATTACCACTATAAGTCAACAAATTCCTGAATTTAAAATGTAACAACCTGAGTTGTCGAATAAATTTTTAAAAGAATGGTAACAGCAATAACAAAGAAAGATGAAGAGAGATTGGAGGATTTCGAATAACCACTATGCTAATTTTGTGGTACAGCAGCATACTGAAATTGCTCAGGTGATGAAATGTAATCAGCGACGTCCAAAGCGAGAATGCAACTTTCACGAACGACAGGCTCCTTATCTTTAGTGAATTCCTCTAATACATTACGTGCCTGACTTTCAAATTCTTTAGGTACATCACTTTTTACATTACTTGACAAATGTTTCCCTTCCAATTCACCAAGAATTGAACCAAGAGCTTCAGCAGCCTCGTGTCTAACCATAGGATGTTCATCAGTTGCACGAACACAGGCAGAAAGTGGAGGAACAGTGCTGGCAACTGTTAACTGTCCAAGCACGAAAGCAACTTCGTGACGTAACAGTGCACTGTTTGGTGCTTTCAAACCTTCGGCTAGAAAGTTAGCTGCTTTTTCGGGTGATGTTTTGTCTAAAATCGCCTTTAAAACACGGTCTCGTAGAGTGAACATAGCACGGAAACGCGTGAACAATGTCTGAGTTGGATCCATCAATAAATCACGCAACTGTTCATCAGTATAGCTGTGATCACAACTGAAACTATGCGCAGGATCAACTGTATCCGGAAAGAACTGTAATGCCAAGTCATCGGTGGGAGGGTTGGATTCATTTTGTTGTTTTTCTTTTCTACTTTTGATCCATTCAATGCGGCACAGACCGACTTGACACGTTTCAGCTAACTGAAATACAAAAACAACTGATGAGATAGCAAAGTTGGCTGACCAAAACAAACGTATTTTACACAATTTCAAAACTAACTTACAGATAAAAACAGCATGAACAACAGAACCTAGGTGAGGTGGGACATTTTTCCGACGGATGCCTACCAAACTTCCAGTAGATCAACAGATGCATGACATTCGTTTCTATGGTCGAATACACATCTTTTACCAAAAACTGCTTAAATGAGTCAAGAATCAGCGAATAAACCAGAGAATATTAAAAGCTTATACGCGAGTTAACAAAACTGGAGGAACTATATATGGATTTTTTGAAAAGAACTGAACTGGATTTCCAACATAAAACTTTGCTCACAAACGTGTTTCAGTTCAAGCTGTCACACTTCATAAAAGCATGCATAGAACATCAAAAAAAAAAAAAAGAAATAAAATGAAACTGGTGAAAGAATAATCACATGGAGAATAATACAGATTCAATATATCCGGAAGAACATTAAGGATGAATGAATCTGCACCAGTGATATATATATGGACCATATCACCAACGCTCAATGGTTCCTACAATCCCGAGGACACGACTGCATCAACATTAATCACTGATTACACACCTATCCTAAAAGTCAAAATATAATAAGTGTCAAAGCAACACAGCCTTATTTTATCAACATTTATGCGTGACGCGTGAACTGGTGTTACCAAAAAACTGTACTATAGAGACCAAGTACAACGAAACCCTTAGAACCGGTTCAAATGACTGTTGTTATAAAATAAGATAAATTATTGAATACTTGTCTGAAGAATGATTAAGAGTCAGTGTATCCCTATTATACGAAAAGTGAAAGAAGCGGTGAGTATGTTTTACCTTAGGCTATGGCACTAAAAATATTTACTACAGTGTTTATCATTCACGGGTTTACAATTGACCGTGAAAATGATGATTCATGTTTCCCACTGCGACACCGTACTCGCAGATACTCTCTACTAATGATAACTACGTATACATCTAAAAACAGAGATTTCATTTAAAGGTTGTAAAACCAAGCATTATAACATATATATGATCTGGCTATTCTGCATAAAATCACTCCATCGTCAATAGTCTCCACCTAGTGCTTATTATAATCCCCAGGAACCAAATACACTACTCAAAATCCCCATATACGGCTCAAACAAACAGTCAATTACTGTATGGATTGATACCTCCCCACACTTTGTCAACCGTATCCTGTTAGCTAACGTTGCGTCATAAGGGAGCCAACAACTCGGAATGCATGCGTAAAACATGTCTCACCCACCTCAATCGATACAGTTCCCAACACTTAACACTATGAAACATATTATGCTACGTAAGGAGACAGGAAACAGAACGCAAAGATGGAGATTATTAGGACTAAATAAGAATAACAAAACTTATGAGGAAAACATGCACAGAAATAATGTAACTAAAAGAAACAGTAGTAGTGCAGTCATACAATCTGGGAACCTCTGGAATAACAGTGGCATTGAAACCCACAAACTTACTGGGAAATAAATAACGCCGGTTAAAGAAACTAGTGGAGTCCGTTGAACAAAGTAATTCAGTCTATCTAATAACATGCAGTGATTGAGATGTCAAATACATCGGTCAGAGTAATAGACCAGGACGAATTACATTAGCCAGAGCAAACACCTGGCTTAGTCTAGACTACTACACCTTGAAACCATACGAAATGAAAAAAGCTCAACCGCACAGCACTACAAGTGGCTACATTCGAAAATAAAACTGCGTCTGGTACGGTGGCAGACCCAGACCAGAATGAACCAGCATTAAACGAGAACCCAAAATGTGATGACCAATAAGTCAAGTCAATGAGAAAACAAAGAACCCAAGACACTCGTAATAATTCCATACAAAATAAAAAGCTCCGAAACAGAGAAGACAAACGGACCACAAAATGTTAATCATACAAATCCAATAGAGAATCAATATGCAATCACATACTACTATTATGTCCAAATTTTAACCACAACATCAACCATAAAACGACAGCAGTATCTACATTAAATCATCTATTAGATAGATCACAGTGAATCAGCATTACTTACTACATGACGTCTCGAACACAGTTGATTGTTCACATTCATATCACAGTAGTATCTACACTGATAACTTCAAACTCATGTCCCGGTCACCGCAGTGGATTCACACGATTCACAAACAACTTCACTCACTGACGACTTGCATTATTCACTTAGTGACCTATAACCATTCACCGCTCTCACACACCACACCACACCACAAACACACACACACACACTCAACAACCAGGTCTACGAAACAATCGGGGGGAAAAATCCGCCAACCTCAACATTCACTCTCAAAATATACGAAGTTAAAGTTTAATTACGTCAGTGGCATCGTTACGAATAATGCTTTACTCTTTACAAGCTCACCTTCCACAAAACATACGTCATGCTCACCAACCGACAACAACCAACTCACAGTATTCAATCAATTCAATCTAAACACTTCCCTAATTAACTTGACAGCAACAACAACAAGACCAACAATTTACATCGCCTTCTCAGTATGCCCATATTCCACTTCAGCTACGTCTATTCAGAACTACTGCCTTGATAAATAAGAAGTCTGAATAAAGTTCTACAAACTAATATAGCTGTCGACAAACATTACGTTTTGCTTCAGTCTATGCAGTCACACAACAATTTTACAGACTACGCCATTCACGGTAATTCTACTCTAACCCATTCGGTAACATCCACCTTTTACTACTAACTCTTCAAATGAGGAAAAAGACTTAAAAGAACAACACTTTTATTAATAATTAAAAAAATAAATTAATCTGACGTGGAATAGACCACTTCAACCAATGAGTTTTTTCTTTTTCATGTCAAGTATCTCATTTGGAGCGAGAGTCAAACGACGCTTAATAACAGCTTTCTCGCCCGACTGTGCTTTGTTTTTGTTTTCAATAGCCACCTTCGATTGATGATCATTAGAATCATTGTCGATAGTGTTGAAGTTCTTCCACCAACTACATACGGTAAGGCGACGGGCCAGCCTCTTGGTTTGTGATCGCGTCATATATTTTTTTGGTTCCAGCGACTCCTTTCCTGACTTCCTTTCCTTGTCACCTTCGACCGAATCCATTTGAATGCAGATTTCAGTATTTGTCATACGACGTTTGAATATTCAAACAATACAAGTGACGAAAACTAAAAGGTTTACTGGTGAGATGACTAATTTATACATGATTTGATATTATGACGTAATCGGGTAAGAAGAACCAATAGAAGAATTCCAATAGTAAGTACCAATCATGTAAAAGTAGATACCAAATAAGAAATTAAATAGACAAATCTCGTTGGCTGAATTGATTTCATGCACGTGACACGCACATACATGCATACATTCATACAAACCCATGTACATTCATATCCTAAGACGAAATTCACATCTCAAGGTTTGAAAAAAATTCGACATCTGAGTATATGATGTTAAGTTTTATACAAAAAGTTTCGCTTAGCCTGCTTTTCTAAAAGGCAAACATTTGATAGAACTTATACTTTATCATAACTAGCCTCACACCCATCAAATCAACATAGTTAGTAGTTACCGAACTCTTGTACATGTGGAAATATAGACTTTAACATCCTAGTAGTTGAAGTATATTCATCTTTATGGATGCATTACTATCCCTTCCACGACTTCTCCAATAGGGGTGTGATTACGTTCGCCAAAGTCTCCAAGTCTGTTTTTCGTGCATCCAGGGAGATTCTATGTGCTCCGACTATCTTTCCGGCCAGTAGTGACTTCATGGCATTCAAGACTGCTGATTTTGTCCAAAGGTAGTTGTTTAATGGCAGTTCTGTGATCGCTAGTGCTGTTTTTGGACAAATTGCATTTAGTGGTCGATTCAACAGCCTCTCCAAGTAACCAGCAGACCCCGTCTCGTCCAATACACCTCCTCAGAAATTAAGATACCTTCTTTATCTTTCACAGGTTTCATCCGTGTTGATATCTTCCCGGATAGCGACCTGATTATTTGATAACATCTTTTCAGGTATCTTCCAACTGTAGTCTGTTCTACTTCATTTGGCGGTGCGTCTTTTGTCAATCCTATGGCTCTTCTTTCCTCCTCAGCTTAGTGAGTCCGAGCTTTTACTCAGGCTATACGGGCTTCTTTCCACATGGATCTCAGAGAAACTCAGTGTTCTTCTTAAGTGACTTCATCTCTGAAATTTTCCTTGATGACTTCAGTAAACGTATCCGTCGTAGCTTCGTCCTATAGTCTATGAGTGTAGAACTAGAATTGCAATCCGACTTGTCCGGTTTCCCTGAAAATTGTCAACTCCATCTTGAATCTTTCTTGTGTTATATAGTGATCTGGGCGTCTACTGAGGATGTTGTTCAACAGGCTGTCTCGACTTTCAAGCAATCAGCGTTTTTGGTGTGTTTATCTGGTGAAACTTGTGGCATCCAGTATATCTTCGGTTTTATGTTCGCTGTTTCCAACGATCCTGATATCTGGTCAAAATTTCCTTAATTTTATTGGATATCCTACTTAATGTTGCCATGCTATGCTTAATACAACTTAACAATACTTCTTGAAAAGAAACAGATATAAAGATGTCGACAGTATTTCAAAAACACCGAAACATCCTATAGCGAATAATCTAGGTCAGCTCACACATCTGGATCATCATGTTGGTCACTGTCAACATGATTTGAATTCATGCACCTATGGAGAAAAATAATACACAGTCATTTTAATTTCTAATACATTTTTATACTAGAATTAAGTGTTTGGTAGTTTTGTGGAGTTTATCGTACTGGTTGAAATCTACTGATATAAGTATAAAACTTGCGCACTGTGGTAGAGTGTAACTCCATTATGTAACTGCATAGTTGAAATCTAAACATCAAAAATAGCTAGGTTCTGATTCTATTTAGGACATGAAAACAGTGATTAGTTTCATTTAGGCGAATTCATTCACTCAGCGGTGTTTGTGTACACTAGACTCGTCAAAAAAAGAATAAAAAACTAATTAGGCTTGTTGCTAAGGTCATGAAAATATTTTGAGAAATGTGATGAAT